AGAGTGCAACTTAATGGGATATTCGATATCCTGCAAGGAACATTTTCCCTCCTCCTTTTCTTTTCTTTGCAAAAAGCAGAGCTGTGCCAGCTGGACAGGGTGGAGATGAGGCGGGTGGGATACTTGGGATGGGGAGAAAAGACTGCTGAAGAAAAAAAGGAAAGGAGGAAGGGAGGGCTTTGACTTTCTCAGCGCCTCTCCCCTCTTACTTTAACCTCCAAGCTTCTCCACTCGCACAGCCTCCTCCTCCTCCCTTTACCTGTCCCTCTGTGGGAGCAATACTTTCCTGGAGGAAAGAAAAGGATGAGCGACTTCGGCGGCTGCCACTGAGCATACCTCTATGGCTGTTCGGGCACGCTTAACAAAAAGGTAGAAAGGCAGTCGAGCTGCCAAAAGGGAGCACCATACCTTGCCAGGCAGTGTCCTGAGAACTTTAGGGGGCATGTGGAGAGGGAAAGACAGATAGAGGGGGTGGGGTGGGTGGCAAGGATGTTGGGTTTCCTTCCTTCTGTTGTGTGACCACCGGGTGACATGTGATGGGCTGGGCACAATGTGTCGCTTCTCCAGAGCCCTGCCAATCTTTGGGGGCAAGTTTCCTCCCCCACTTCTCCCAACTGGATGTATTGGAGGGCAACCAAGGGGCCTACCTGAACTCCACCCCCAACTCACTGCAACCATCCAACATAGGGCTGTGGAGACCCGGGTGCAAAATGTGACACATTTAAACACATAAAAAATCACAACCCTCTCCTTTCTCCTCACCCACACCCCCCCACCACAAATTACCCCTAACTTTTGGGTTTGATACGTCCGAAAAGCCAGCCATCTCTTGTCGCACATGCGTTTAAGTAGGTTTTTTTGGGGGGGTATTTTTTTGGAGGGGGGGTTGTTAGTTTAATCCATGTGCTGAAAAGCCCGATTGCGCTTAGTATTAGGACATGTTGTATTTTCGGGGAAACACGGTAAGAATATCAGCAGTTCTATTGTGCAGTTGGTTTTTCATTATATTTTTTTCTACTTGGATCCCAAAATAAATTGAAAGGTGGAAGAGGAGGAATTCCAAAGGAGTGAAGGAAGCAACGTGCTTACCCTCCTGTGTAGGCCTGATGTCCTGGAAGTTATCACTTCTCCAAAAGGTTGCTTCGAAGCTAAATTTCCCAAAGTTTCAGCTCTGGTCTAAGAGAATCTCCATTAGTATGCATCAACTAATAGTGCTTCTCAGTATAGTTCTACAGTTTAGACTTGATGTTTACATGACTTAAAAGGGTGCTATTAATTCATTTTAAAATATTCTAAGAGGTAGAGATTAATGCTGCTGTTAATGTTTGGGAATTCTGTAGTTTGAAAAGTTATAGCTAATTTAAAAATTGATTGTTATACCTATTAAAGATTTGCTAAGTCAATTTACTTATCTATTACTTAACAAAAAAACTATTGAGGATTTGCCAAATCAAATACAGGTTACTTCTGGAAGTATTTAGGAAATAGAAGCACAGGGTTGATGTATTCCATATGCACACAGTCATTAGAATCGGAACTGCACAAGTGGAATATTCTATTAATTCAGTGTCGTATATATTAATATTGGATTAGTGTTGCAGAAATAAAGGCTTAAAGACTGATTAGAGCTGAAGGTTGCAAGTTGTATCAGAGACATATCCATGGAATGGAAGAAAATATTTTTCTGAAGTTAGATGCAGATTCTGCGATTTATGGAGAATTGCTTGACTAGCAGAGCAGAAATGCACACTAGGACTATGCACAGTTCAAGAATAATTCCAAATAAATATTTTGGAACATACTGGACCTCTTTTAATTGGGTACTAATATAAGTTTAAAAAAAGAGATGGTTGCTTTAATAACTTGATTGTGAATCATTTGAGTATTCTGTAATCCAGTTCTTTGTGCCCCTAAAGTTTTGAAATTTTCTGCTAATTTATGCTATTGAATATCTAGAATTCATTTTATCTTAACTAAATTGACTCTTGTAAAGAAGAGAGCTCCACCTGCATAACTATTCCAATTATTCCAGTAATGTCTCCATACCACCTGAGACTCCCTTGTACAAATCTCAGAATAGTTTTAAGTCCATCTTTGCCTGGTTGAAAATTGGCGTCAATGTGACATCTGGAATTGTAGTGCAAAGGTCTTTAGGATACAGCAATTTTGCAAGCTTCTAAATAATAATAATTACAATTGTGTTTGGGTGTATCCTTGATTTGAAAGATATGAAAGAATATGGCTATATGTTAATCACTAAAGATCAATGATGGCGAACGTTTAGACACCGAGTACCCAAACTGCACACACACGCATGCCCAAACTGAAAGGTGTATGATGCGCAGCAGAGACCCAAAGACCAGCTGGCAGGCAGGAGGCGGGGTATCTCAACACTGGCAGCGTGGCAAGAAGTAATACCTTTTTATTTTATGAGCTTCTGTTTCGTCTTTTGCAAGGAAACAGAAGCTCATGAAAGAAATGCCATGGAGATCTGACCTGGGGCGCCGGCATACGTCTCAGCAGAGAGAGAGGACTCTCATGCCACCTCTGGCACGTGTGCAATGGCTTCACCATCACGGCTATAGTTAGTCTTCAACTTACAACCATAATTGGAACTGGGGGGGGGGAGAGCAGAGTGATCAGTCCAGTAACACAATTTCTTTTAGCCCCTTCCCGTTTAACCGTATTATTAGTTTTTAGCAATTTTTAACGGGACTTTCTCTTTAATTCAAGTTACACTGTTTGGATGAGATGAATGTGAAGGCAAAGGCACAGATAAAAGGACTTATTGTGGACTTGAATGATATGGGGAAAAGAAATAATATGAGAGCCCAGCTCTCTCCCTTTACAGAAATCAGCCAAATAACCACAGATAGAAGAACATTTCGCAAGAAAAGTATCTTTTAAGTAAACAACTGTTCCTTTTATTTCAAACAAATCTGATGCCTTAGAATGGGAACTTCAAACAGAAATAGAAAAACAACAGCTGTCACAGCATTCCTTATCTGCTAGGGAAGAACTAAATGGGAATCAGGACTCCCTCATGGACTCTCATTGTGACTAGTCTCAGGGGAACTAAAAATAAGCTTAAAAATAAAAACCAAAATAAGGCTCCCTGAGAAAATCCGGTAAAGTTCATGGCAAACCCAATACCTGTTCACTACAAAAATTGTGATGTTAATCTTCGAGCATCTCTCAGTTATAAAATATGGACAGAAGATGCTGAAATATAATGTTGAGGCTTCTATTCAAAAGCATGAAATTAAACTTTTCATGCATATCAATGCTGATACAATTGGTCCATCTAACCTTGTTATCAGAGGCATGTGTCTGTTAAACAGCAAACAATAAAACATAAAATAAGCTGAGAAGATATTACAGTACCCAAATGTTTACTCTAATATCACTGTAAAACAGTGGGTCTCAACCTTCCTAATGCTGCGACCCTTTAATACAGTTTTACAGTTGTAAAATTTGACAAAATGAAGAGAATGGGCTTCACACACGTTGAAGATCCCCAGCTGCAACAGAAGAATGTTTCTAGTTCAAACTGTTTTGGAAAACAATAGTAATTTCTCTAGGCCAACTTCTTCATAGCCAAAACACCAGATAGATCTGGGTGCTGTTGAATAACTCCCAAGCGTCTTAAACCGTAAGTGGATTCTTCTATGTTTCAAACAATTTACCATCCCACTGATGTTATTTAAGAACAAAGCACATTCAAATCTTATCCATGGAGTCTTTTGTGACAGAAAGATTAATCTCTGTTCAGTTCTATGTCACTGAGGTAGCCACTGCACCATCCTTAGATATGAGAAAGCAAGACCGTGGGAGTCAGATTTACTAAATGAACATTCTCCAGCTGGCCTTATCAATACTTTTGGCTCCTTAGCAAAGTTCCAACAAGATAATATACTGCACAAGTTAGAAAATCTGAGGAAAGCAGTCTGTTGATACCATAGTCACAGCTAAGCCTTTGATAGGCCTTCATTCTCTAACTGTGGGTATTATCTCCCCTCAATGGAGAATGGAATGGCTAGATATTATCCCCCATTCCATAACTCCACAGATCCTTATGAACCAGGGATTCTTGGGCTGATCCAAACCTCCATTTTAGCTGAGGAGGAGTTCTCAAACACACCAAGACATGCAATTGGGTCTATAAGTAACAAGCAAGGGGCTAGAAGCAGACCTCTTGCTGATTCAATTGTACAGAGCAGAACAGAGCAAGAGCTATCAATACTCCACCCAGTATTGCTGAAGACCCTACAACATAAAGTCTATTGGACTATACTAATTTCATTTTCTCAGAACAAGATTCCCTGAAATAGTTACAGAATTTTCATGAGACAAGCCAATGTTTAGAGGAAGTCTGGTCGTTCCCCACTGGTTCTTCAGTTCAACAGAACAATCTCAGGTCATTGGCCTGCCAAAATAAAAATCAAGCCATTTGACTATTTTTGAGTGATGATGCAATTTCCTTGTTAACTTGGAATATTGCTGGTTTGCACCATCAAAAGACTAACCCTTCTTTGATTATCTACCACAATTTTACATCCTTTTTCTTTAAGAATCTTGGGCTATATCAGAGGTGGAACTGGATAGCTACTGGGTCTATTCTATTTTGCCACCCCAAGTAATACAGGAGGGAGACCCAGGGGTGTATTATGACTTTAGTCAGCACAGCTTTGCAATGTAAGTGTGTCTTACTTGAAACCATGTACTGGTCTCTGCTTTCTTCCAATCAAGTTGAAATTTTGTTTTTTTAACATTTTTACTCTTTCTTTTAAAACATACATTCAGACCAATGCCGCTTGGGTACACAGAGAATTTTATCCTTACTTGTTTAGATAAATGGCTAGCAGCATCAGTAATAATTAATGGGGATATAAACTCAAGGATGCCTATGGTCTGACCTAAGCTTAGTGCACAAAATTGTCTGCTGCAACAACCTACCTATCAATGATTACTTCAGCTTAAACCGCAATAATACACAGGCAAACAATAGATACAAACTCAAAGTAAACCGCTCCAAGTTCGATTGCAGAAAATAAGTCTTCAGCAACAGAGTCGTAAATGCCTGGGATGCTCTACCCAACTCTGTTGTTACATCCTCAAATCCCCAAAACTTTAACCTTAAACTGTCTACCATTGACCTCACCCCATTCCTAAGAGGTCTGTAAAGGGGGCGTGCATAAGTGCCAGCCTGCCTACTGTCCCTGTCCTATTGTTAATAGCAATAGTTAGGCTTATATACCGCTTCATAGGGCTTTCAGCCCTCTCTAAGCGGTTTACAGAGTCAGCATATTGCCCCCAACAACAATCTGGGTCCTCATTTTACCCACCTCAGAAGGATGGAAGGCTGAGTCAACCTTGAGCCTGGTGGGATTTGAACAGCCAAACTGCTGAACTGCAGTGCTGCATTTAACCACTGCGCCACCTCGGCTCTTAATGAGTACAAATAAATGTTCCCATTTATTTGTACTCATTTCTTACGTATATATGTGTACCTGCTTATACTTATATGTTTATATTCATACTTATACTTGTTTTCTCATATGTGCTTGACAAACCAAAATAAATAAATAAAATACCTTAGAACAATAGTCCCAAACATTTCTGGTTTAGTTGTGCAGAGGGAGAGAGGCCCAGAAGTGCACCATGGCCTAGGGGTTGGGGAACCTGCCTTCGCAGAACCTTTGTAAAGAAGAAAATCTAAGGATTCAAAATTTAATTAGGCAGGTTTAGCAGTCAGACAGATGACCACTGCCTGGAGCTGTATATTCTTAAAGGCTCTGTGGAGGAGGATCACTTGGCAGAAAACACTGGGGAGGGGGAGGTTAGTTGATTATTGAATTGTGTCATGTGATCTTCTAAAAGAATGATATGAAATGTTAACTTTAAATTAGTTTTCAACAAATGAATCAAGCCATGCTTTGGAGACTGGTATATGAAAAATATTGATTTCATTAGGGGTACACACAGATGAATAGGGCTTTCATCAACTGAGTCCTGCCTAATTTTGCCAACTTTTTTTACTACAATCAGTAAGCAAATGAGTTTCTTCCATTGAGTTTGTTGGAAGTCAGCTGGAAAGGTTGGAATTGGTAACCATGTGTCCCTGACACACTGCAGCCGTCCTAAATACATGCCAATTGGCAGGATTAGGATTTTGATTATGTGGAATGATGTGGCAGCCACAAATGCAATAACTGATTGTAAATCATTCTTTCAGCACCATCATCACTTCAAATGGTCGATAAACAAATAGTTGCAAGTTTAGGACTACCTCTATATGCAACTCCTTACTGAGTATCAAATCTCTTTTTCAGAGAAAACATGCCAAGCCATTTCAAATTCAAAGAATATTGTCCAATGGTTTTTCGTAATCTGCGAGAGAGGTTTGGAATTGATGATCAAGACTTTCAGGTAAGCTGGTTATCATGGTAAATAAATCTTGATATTTGGCAGATGTCTGATTAGGTATTCTTTGCTGGGAGAAAGATAGGTGGAATGAAAGATAAACCTTTGCAAATTTCCAGGTCTAAATTCAGCTGGTAATTGTAAGACATATAAGATGATTTAATGGGTGTGTTTATTTTCTAAATTTCCTTTCTGTATTTCACTAAGCCCTTATGGTTGTAATGAGAAGTGCATATAACAAGTCATAGGTAAGTAGTGCTTATAGCAAGTCATAGGTAAGAAGAAGTCAGCTCGATTCTGCTGCAGAATATGTTGGACTCAAGCATCTATAATTTGCCGTCATTGTATCCCTCTCAATTGTGGAAGTGGTATGATTAAAATGTAGAATTTTGAAGTAAATTTCAAGAGTATTTTCAAATACTCTTGAAGTGAACTTTTGGTATGAAGCTAAAATATAAAGATTTACACTTTCTTTCCCTTCCTCCCTCCCTCCCTTCCTTCCTTCCTTCCTTCCTTCCTTCCTTCCTTCCTTCCTTCCTTCCTTCCTTCCTTCCTTCCTTCCTTCCTTCCTTCCTTCCTTCCTTCGAGAAGACTCTTTCTCCTTTTGTTCTGCAACTCTTCTTAAATTACCAGTGGGATTGCCCCTTCCTCTAGTTTCATTGTTTGCTAATATCATCTAATAATTACTATGATTTTGTCATATTGTGTTTATAATAGTCTTTACAAATAAAGTAGTAATTGTAACTGTATAAAAAATATGTGGCCAAGGTATCTTTTCGGAAATGTTATCTAAAGATAAATGCAAATAACCTAGTTTTTCATTTCCTTTTGCAGTCCAAGTTTAGCTTAAACTTGTTTCTTAAGTATCTTTGAAGTCTGTTTGCAGATACTTCAAACAGGATCATTTTTTTAAAAAGGTTGCACTCCTGTGTACATTTAATCTATGCAACAAACATTGGTTCCTTACCTATGGACTTTTCTTTCATGCTCAAATCTCATGGTTGGAAAAACTTTCTGGAGGAATAGAATAGTGAGATTTCATTTGATATACACTGTGTCTTTTATTGTAGACAAAGGAGGTTTCATTTTTAATCTGAGAGAGAAGGTAATTCATATGAACTGAATTTGCAATTTTGCTTTTATATTAAAAAATTTTTAATTAAATATTTATTTGTATTGCTTTTAAAATAATAACAGAAAAAGATACATGGAGTATTTATGCTAGGCATACATCATCAAAAATGCACAACAAATACTTATAAAAAGTGGCAAAAACACAACAGAAAAAAGGAAACAAAAGTATGAAATATTGTTATAATAGTAAACAATTTCAATTCTAATTATCAAATGCAAATATTATGCAAAAATGTATATATTTCTAATACATTTATGTAATTATCATGCTTTTTCAATCTTATTTTGTATGAATGAGTCACATAATTCATTGTGCTTATCCATACAAAGTCTATGTCTATAGACAATTTGTACGTAGGTGGCCAGTATAATGAGATCTTCGATCCAGTGAATTAATAGGGGCATGCATTTATCTTTCCAGTGTTGCAGTATTTTTGCCAAGGTAAAGGCATTAGGAATCCATTTACATTGTCCAATTGTTAAATTCCATGTACCATGGAATTAGAATTATCCTCTGAAAATTTTAACTTTTTTCACATAATCACATTTGTATACAGGCAATCCTCCACTTATCACCATAATATTACAATGGTTCAATTACGATGGTACTGAAAAAAGTGACTTAAAAACTGTCTTCGAAATTATGATTATCGCACCACCCGTCTGATCACATGATTGTCATTTGCGGGCTTGACAATTGACTTTTGTTTATAACCAGTTGCAGTGCCATCTAGTTACATAATTGCAATTTGCAACATCCCATCAGCTTCCAACAAGTAAAGTTAGTGAGGGCAGCCAGATTCGTTTAACAATCATATGATTTGCTTAACAACTATGATAAAAATAGTTGATGACTTCTTTAACAACCACATTGCTCAGCCACCAAAATTCCACTCTCAGTTGTGGTCATAAGTTTTGGATTATCTATAGTCTACTTTCTCCCAAAATGTAGTACAGTAAGTATAGGACATTGTAAAAGCATGTGTTTTGAAGAAGCATTGTTTGTTCGTTTGTTTATATGCTGCCCATCTCATTTTTCTGAGTGACTCTGGGCAGCTTATAATAGTATAAAAGCATAAATACAAAAACATTAAAATTAACAACAATTTAAAAAAGCAAGAACATGAACAGGGGTGGACTTCGTCTGTCACTCAGTGAGTGAGTGGTACCAACAATTATTTCTCTGAAATCTCCAACAAAATACTATCTTAGGTAACTCTTTTGTGTACAGACATAGTGAATTGAATATATGATGTTTTCTTTATATCTTTACTGCTGTTCAATTTGACCCGGTATTAGCCTTTCTGATCACCAGCTGCTCCTGACCTTTTCAAACAGAGACAATCATAACTTTTTGCCTTTGAGCTAGGTGCGTTTCCCACTCAGGTTTTCTCTATACCTATTTTTTATGATAACTCTTGATTTTAAATACTTGAGAAACTGTGGCTTGGGAATACCAAACCTAATTTAATTGTCAGCTATGCTTTTAGCATAGAACAATTCAGGGCAAACATGAGCAAAATGGCAGATTTCCCAGGTTGCTTAATAATCCATGTCAATGTAATTAAAACAACTGCTTTCCCCAGATGTCTTTGGAATATCAATACATAATTCTTGATAAGTTGTTCCAGACATGATGGGTTCCTAAACTGCAGTTCAAGGATAGTCCGTGGATGAATCTGTGGCCATTGCCTTCAAGCGGAAATTCATTTTGTTGAAGTACTTGAAGCTTTATATGATAAAATGCAGAATAGTGCTGTTAATGATATTTTTAACTTACACTTCCTTTTTAATAGTTTAAATTCTGCAAATTGTCACATTTAATTTCTATACAAGGACATCTATTCTAAGTAGGTCATACACTTAGTTTTGTTCTGTTCATTTGTAAATCACAAATACTTGAAGTAGCATTCTTGAGTTTTCTACCCATCTATTTTCTGAAGATGTTTGCAAACTGTTAATTATTCAAATCTTTACATGAACTGAAAATCCTATATGATTTTGATTTGAGCTGATTAATGTATTTTCAGACTACTGAGGGACCTAATCAATAGCTGTCAGAGCATTGTCACAAAACTAGGACAGTCATTAGCAGAAGACTTTGACCTTTCTCAAGCAAAAGGCTTCCCGGATATAATCAGTATGCTTACAAATAATGTATCATTTGGAAACAAGTTGCTTTGCCCGGCAATCTGCATTTGTAGTCTCAGTATTTAGAGACATTCTTCAGCCTTTTTTCATAGTATTGACAATTCTACTTTCTGGATGTTTTATCACATTTTTTTAATCTCTCAAAGCCAAAGAGTGCAATTCCCTTTTAAGTCCTGAACAACAAATTTGTTCATGGGAGGAGAGGGTTAAAAAGGCCACATTCTCGGCATATTTTGCAAGTCAAGTGTGCTAAACTGCTTCTCGGCATTTATTATATTTTTGTGAAAGCAGACAACTGACTGATTTTTAGCATTTTAAAATCAGGACCAATTACAGTTTTACTATATTATCCCTTTCCTAGCCGTGCACCCCTGAATCTGGCTCCCTGCAGTTTTTCAGGATTGCAGTGCCACTTAGTTTCTTCAACTGCCATTCCTTAGGAATGATGGCAGTGATAGGAATTATCAGGAAAGAAGCAAATTGAAAAGGTTTGTATTATACAGGTAGTCCTCAGAACTGTTCATTTAGTGACCATTCAAAGTTATAACGGCACTGAAAAAGTGACTTACAACTGGTTTTCGCGCTTAAAATTGACTCAGCCTTCCATCAGTCTGAGTTGGTAAAATAAGGACCCAGACTGTTGGGGGCAACATGCTGAATCTGTAAACCGCTACGAGAGGGCTGTAAAGCACTATGAAGCAGTATATAAGTCTAAATGCTATTGCTATTCCGACTATTGCAGCATTCCCATAGTCACATGATCAAAATTTGGGCACTTGGTAACTGATACCCATAGGTATTTATGACTGTTGCACTGCCATGGGGTCATGTGATTACCATTTGTAACCTTTCTAGTTGGCTTCCAACAAGTCAATTGGGGCAACCAGATTCGCTTAATGACCACACAATTCACAATAACTGCAATGATTCACTTAACAACTGTGGCAAAAGGTTGCAAAATGGAGAAAAATTCACTTAAAAATTACCTTGCTTAGCAATGAAAATTTTAGTCTCAATTGTGGTCATAAATCAAGGACTGCCTATAGAGGGTTACTTAGTTACTTATCCTACTCTAGTCTACTCTACCTTACCCTACCCTACAGTGCAGTACACTATTATTGCACAATTGTAGTGATTGTAGTGACTTCTCTATTATTGCACAGTTGTACTCTACCCTACTTTACTCTACCCTACCCCACTCCACTCTGTTATTGCGCAGTTGTAGTGATACATCTCAGAATTCCTTGGTTGGTCAACAGCAGTGCTATCTGGAATCTCCTACAATTGTACTAGTACTTTAGCTTGGAATCGGCGAAACCTAGATTTTTTTAAAAAAAATATTCCACATTCTTTCAGGCTTAGTGCCTTCATTTTATCTTTCTAGGGGATTAATCCATTTACAACTCCAGGAGATCCTATTTGCTTTTTTGTTACGCCACTCAAAGATGATAGATAATCATTTACATGACAAAAATGATGCACATGTCCCTTAAAATATCCGATTCATATTTTGGGTTTGGAGATGTGTAGTAAAGTTCTAGTAAGGCAATTAAGTAGTACGGAGCATTGTACAACTAGACATTAGCAGAAACATTTGTCTGTGTGTGTGTGTGTGTATGTGTGTGTGTCTGTGCCCCTATACCATGGAAGTTCCATTTCAAATTACCCTCTCCCTATTCAGATATTATTTGGCTTAATAATTTCAGCTTAAAATTTTATTC